CTCATTTTCACTCACTAGGAGCAGGAAGAAGGAAAGGGAAGAGGATACCCACTTGCCAGAAATAGGAATGGAGGATGAAGAAGAGAGACAGAGAGGAAAGAAGCAACCGTCATGCACTTTCATCATCACTCCAGTCTTTGTGTCATTTCTTTCATTCACGTTTCTCATCACTCATTTATTCAAAGCTGCTACTCAGCATCCACTGTGGCCCATGCCTGCATTTGTTCTGGGGCTGCAAGCTGGACACGGTCTATGGAGAACATAAACTTACTTTAAAACACATGTATAAATGTCAAAATATTATGGTATGGGTTCTATAAAGTGGGGAGAATAAAACAGGGAAATTCTCTGTGGTGTGGGATAGTTATGTAGAAGATGCCATTTAAATGCAGATATCAGAGTGAGTGGGAGCAGTCAGAGCAGAGAAGACCATTCTAGGAGTAGCTCTCTTTGTGTGTGTGCATGTGCGTGCTCATGCATGCCATGAAGGTTTTGCACGCCAAAGGAAGGAATGCTAGGATGAGACTTCCTATGACAATAGAGCAAGAAGCCTTTGGAAAGCTGTGGAAACAATAACAACAAAAACAAAAACACTGGTTTGGTTTAGAGACGGGTTATTAAACTCATGTAAAATCATAAGTGCCAAAAGAAGGTTACAACATTGTCTAAATAAGCAACATACTTCCCACTTATATCTGAAGGATAATTACTCTGGATGCAGGATAGAGGATGGGTTGCACTATATGGGAAAAGACCTTCGAGGAGAGGCTTTTTGCAGATTCTAAAACAGTGGTTCTCAACCTTCCTAATGTTGTGGCCCTTTAATATACCCTCATGTTTTGCTGACTCCCCCCACAAACCATAAAGTTATTTCATTGCTACTTCATAACTGTGATTTCACTACCATTTTGAATCATAATGTAAATATCTGATATACAGGATATTTAGTATGTGACCCTGGTGGGGGTCACAACCACAGGTTGAGAGGAGGCAGGAATACCAAACCACAACAGAAGAGAAAAGAATGGGGATATAAAAAAATCACCATTATCATACTTAACCTTGTGGGGCTAACTTCTTTCATCTAAGAAATGAGAACATTAATGGTGTGGGTTCATATTAAGTGGATGAGAAGAGGCGAAGACATGTCTGAGATTTGAATAACTTTTTAGGCTGAAGTCTAAAAAATTGAAGCCCCTATGCTTTCTCCATCTGATCCTTCACAGAAAGCTGGGATAACGAAACTGTTCATACTGGCTGTACTTTGTTTCTTCATCTTCCATCATCTTTGTTAATAGCACAATAACCCAGTATTAGGCCCCTTGGAAGAACTTAGCCAGTGTAATAAACCACTGTAGACTGAACACTCTTAAACAGCCCTCATCAGCCTCCTCTTAGTGCCTGAGCAAACAAGGTTCAGATATGGGAAACAACTTGTTCAAGGTCACACAGTACAGCAGTGACAACCACTGGTACCCACGGGTCCTACTGTCCTCAAAGAGCCCCAGAAATCTCATTTTTTTTCTGGGCACTTCAAAGATAACAGTAGTCAAATGCCACTTGATTCTTGATTTGGAAAAGAGCACAGGTTTTATTTTTAAATGAATATGAAGAGGGCACAGTGAGTTAATATGGAATCCCAAATGCTATGCGAGAGCTGTTTCCTCCAGCACAGGGATTTGCCTTTCCTGGTATTTTTATCTATTTCTCCTTGACTGGCTCACACATGCTGGGAGGACCACTGGGAACTTCTGACTAACTGCATTTGCTACGGAGGAGCTTGGATGGCAGCCACAGAAATGGAGGGGGACTAGTGCTGGGGTGTTGGGGAGAAGAAGGTGAGAAGCATAGTCCGCCTATGCTGAAGTCATCCCTGTGTCCATGCTCACACTTTGAGAAACAGTGAATGGAAGACCTTGAGCAAAAGATTCAACCAGTCAGAGCCCACTGACACATAGCACAGAGAGAATGGAGCTCCAAAACTGGATTTCACCAGACCCTGCTCTCCCTGCTACTGTTCCAGGTTTCAGAGAACAGAAACCTGGGAAACTGGATCTGAACTAATGTCAATTAGTGGCTTGACTTGACAAGAAATGTGAGATTCAGATTCTTCCATCCCTAGACACACACTGTACATAGGGGTCTTTCCTTGGTAGTTAAGCTCTGTTTCAATGTCTTTATTCCATCCTCATATCTGCCTAAATTATTTATAAATTATTAATTTAATCTTTAGAACTCTCTTCGTGACTATTAGTCTTATATCCTCATTTTATAGCTCATGGAGTTAATACATAGTAATGTCCAAGTCACAGGTTTAATAAGACACTAGTAAGCATCAGGGATAGAATTCTAACTCAGGTAGCTCAGTATCAGAACCCATATTATTAATACTGTCTTCTTCTGTTCTGGCAGTTCTGGTGCCTCTCAGACTTTCCTTGGTTCATTTTAATACTGTGTATTTTCCCCTATAATGTGGTGAGTGTTACAGCCTCATCACCTCCTTTTTGCAGTATAAGAAAAGCTAAGAGGGACCATAGCTCTTTTGTGCAGAACTGTAGCAACTGAAGAATTGGACATCGGATGCTAAGTTCACTTGGCTGGAACAGAAGCTTTGCTATGACCTGGTCAACATTATGTCTTCAATAAAAGATCAGCAGTAGCAGCCTCAGGAATAGCAGCGAGACTGACAGCCTCACAAGGTCAAGAGCAGTATTAAAAATGCAATACTAAGACCAGTGTCACCTGCCTGTGAACCAGCACAAAAGGGAGGGAAGGATACTCCTGGGTCTAATGGATTTCTTGCCTCATTTGACTCTCTTCCTCACTGTGTCTTTTTCCTTGCTGATTTTCATCAGTTAATTGCTTCATAGTTTTATATAGTAAAACCTCCACATGGATAAGGAGTTTTAAACTTTCAGTTGATTTTGTCCCCCATGTGGCTGCTGTTTGTAGAAATGTTTATGCTATGTAGGTAAGGAGGGGAGAGGAGAAGGAAAGGCAAACTAGGAAATGTGGAAGGAATGAGTAGAAAAGGAAGGAGAGGGAGAAAGAAGGGATGATGAGAAAAGAATGAAATGAAAGAAGGAAGAGAATGTGGCAATAAATAGAGACAGAGGGATAGGAGAAAAAAAGACACAGATTAAAAAGAAATGGGCAGATAACTGAGTAAACACGGGATCCTGCAAAGAAGAGAGATGTGAACCAGAACCGAGTAGAGGAAGAACCCTGCTGCTAGTGGGACACACGTGGGAGGAAAGATCGAGGGAAGGCTTGGGCACTGCTTTAGTGGGCAGGGCTAGTGAAGGAGGACACAGATGCCACAGCCCTGTTACTCTCACTATCCTGAGAACACAGCCAGGTCTCCTAGAGTGTTTGGGGGCAGTGGGCCAAGTTGTTTGTCTCGTGTCCTGTTGCTTGCTTTTGCTTTCCTTTTTAAAGTTTAACAATTTATAGGGTGCGTGCTCAGTGACGGATGCTTTTCCAATCAGCTGCAAATATCCCATTCTTTCTGAGGAGACCCACCATTGCCTGGTTCTCATTTTAGCTGTGGGATTGGAGAAGGGAGAAGACAAGTTAAGAATCATTGATCACTAACTTCTAAATCTGTAGTGCAATAGATCCCTGAAAGCTAGAGTGTAGGGTGGACTGTGAGGCAGGATCTATTATTTCAAGGGCTGCAGAAACTGAAAATTCCTCCTTGGGGATGTGTCGATAGAAGCACTTCCCATATGGAGCCCTTTTTCATGACAGGTACCAAGGGTACAGAGAATAGAATCGAAGCAACGAGAACTGAAGTCACATTAATAATGTCTACCTCCATTTTCCCCTTACACTGTGATGGTTTTTATATAATGTGTTAAAAATCAATAGCCAACTCGAAATGGCAGCTTCAGCCATTACAAGGCCCATTCTACAGATGAAGGAATGTAAATAACTTGCCTCAGGGCAAAATGTGCTCAAAGGTGTGTGATTCATGCCATTGCTATGAAATGTCTATCACGAACAGATGTTCCTACCTCAGGCAATGCTTCACCTCCCTTCTGTGCAAAGGTGGTGGAGGGCAGACAGTCTTACACCTTCAGAACCCACCAACATCCATGATTAGCCATAGTTATCATAACGGCAGTCAATGCAAAGCAACAGGCAGGCCTTTACCTGTAATACAGGATCCTCCTTTCATGGAGTGGTCAAACCCTGTTAATCTGTACCAACCCTGTGCGTTTAATACATGCTTACAGCCCAGGGTTTCTTTTGCAAACACCACTTCCCAGTTGCTAATTCCCTAACCTTAAGCAGTACTCCAAGATGAGGAATTGCTTTTGTATATGTTCTCCAGAAATATGCTGTTTTCTTGTATACTCCATGGAATCATCAGAGAACTACAGACGTTAGCTGAAGGTGCAACCCTGTAATGATTCTTCTTCCAGCATATTGATATCCCTTATATCGACTGTCATGGTGATGAATAAATGTTGAAAACCCTCTTTAACAGGCCATATGATGCCTTGTCGACAGGGGCCAACTTCAAAACTTTCAGGTTTAGGCAATTCTAACCAAAGAACCTATATATTTACACTTCACAATATTCCCTTTACACTTTTGCTGCTAATTTTGCAAAATTAAATTGGTAGCCCATGCTAAGAACCTGTAGTATGGGTTACCCTGAACACATCTAACCTAAATATGATTTATTTTTAGTGCTAGTTTCCTTTCAGCATGATTATTGCTATTTCATTTCCTATACTGAAATTTCAATATGAATAGATGCAGGGGAAATCGCCTCTAATTATTTTGGGGGATGATGCAGGGCAGGGAGTAAGTAAGGAATGGAACGGAAAAGGCAGGATTGACAGTCAGTAGTGTGATCAGTCCTGGATGCTGGGTTCAGTGCTCATTGTGCTGAAACAAATTTACATTTGGTATTTATCGTGAAATCTGCTGCCTGGACTTTGTAAATCCACGTGGCAGTTCTGGAACTTCCCAAGGGCTCGACTGATTACCTTTGCTGCGGCGGCGGCTGTGGTACTGCTCTGTGTAGAAAGTCAGCTGTGTTTCATCATCTGCTTCTGAGCCCGACGTCCCCTTGGTTCTCCCAAAGCTGAGTCCCCCTGCAGAGAAGCACCATCCATCAGTCAGCCTTGCAGGACTCTAGAAGCATTGTAAACACCCAGCCATCCTGAAGACCCACAGCACTTCCTCACGTTTCTCACTGCTGATCCTTAGTGACCCGGGAGTCTGCATGATTAATGGAAGTAGTTGAAACTGGCAGTCAGGCAGGACTGGGTTCTAATCATGGTTCAGCAGCTTCCAAGCTATATGACCTTGAGGTGTCATCTACCTTCCTAAACTGCTATTTCTACAGCAGCGGAAGTAACTCTTAGCCACTTGGATTTGCTTTGAAGATGAGGAAGAAGCATGGCACGTAAAAGAGGAGGCCCATAGTGGGTGCTAACAATGGAAAACTACCATTTCTATATACGATGAGCTTAACTCGAAAATTCTCCAGGCAGCTTAATTTCACAAACATTTCAACCAAAGGCTTAGAATATGGCAGGCTCAAAGCCTGCCACAGAGACACAAAGATAAACGCCACTCAGCTCTTACCAGGCACCGTATCATAAGCTAGTCAGGGGGACAAATGGGATCCTGAGGAGTCTTAAGCCTAATTCATGGCTTATGTTTTCCACACAATGAGATGCTAGGAATATGGGAAGAAGCAATTCATTTTAACTTGGAGGGAAGAGAAAAGGTTTATGGAGGAGTAAAGATTTAAGCCATGGTTTGAAGGATAGATGAGGCTTTGGCATTAAAAAAGGGAGCTTCCAGGAGCCACCTTATGAAGCATCGCTGATAACACAGATATGGGCAGATACAGGCAACATCAAACCCAGGACTGACTAAAAATAAGGTGCTCATACCACACTGAGGGAGGCTTGAGTGTTCCACCAAGGTGGGCATCATGCTGGGGTCTAACTGTCACAGAAAGTCCCAGAGCAAAAACGCGTTGATTATCTGTGTGAATCAGAAAGGAAACTCCGAGCTCCCAAGGAATGGAATGTGCTTCAGGCTCAGTGAGCAGCTAGGAGGCTCTGTGATGACCCAGGAGAGGTGCAACATGAAATGGGGACATGTACAGAGTGGATGGGAAAGGGGGGCGGACATGAGAACGGCTACAGAGATGGACTGGGAGGAACATTCAGGGAGGACAGTGACTCATAGATGATGAATAATAGAAAGGGGCTGGTAAGATCAGTGCCGGGACACTAACGTCGCTGATTCAGAACGGAGGAGGGCAGGAGCTGCTCTTCTTAATCTTCATGTGTTTTGAGTTCTGTATTTGCTGATTTATTTGTTAGTGGGAAAGGGAGTGAGTTGATGAGTTGAGTCAGGTTTTTAAGATATTTTTTTATGTTGGTCATTCTGGTCTTAAAGTCCTGATCCACCTCCTCTGCCTCCCCAAGTGCTGGGATTACAGGCACAAGGAATTATGCCTGGCACTCTTCTTAGAATTTTTTAAAGATAAGGTATTGAAAACTATGAATTAAGACACTGAAAAATTCTATACCTAGAGAAGAATGAAGGAGGTGAGAGATCCAGAGCATGGTGTGGGTAGATGTGTGGACAGGGGAAAGAGGCACATTTTAAGGACTGGGACTTCAGTTGTACAAATCACAGACTATCTCTAGGGAGACTGAAGTATCTGGTAAAATTGGTTTTCCTGGATAGAGAATTAAGTGAATGTAGAATAAGGAAAGAGGGAGGCTACTCTGCCCTATAAATCTTTGTGTCTTTTTAATCAAACACCATACAACTGATTACCAATTCAAAAGTTGCACCTGAGGAAAAGAAAAGCATAAATTAGTGGAGAATGTTGTTCAATTCACAAAGGGATTTACTCTGTAGCCCTCTTGGGTGGGGTTTGAAGGGACATCCATCACACTGACGTCATGCTTGCAGACATTGTCCATACCATGGCATTGTGTTTGTTCGCTCCAACGATGTTGCTGGAAGATTTGTCTACATGACAGCATGAAATCCTCATGGGGATAGATTCACTAGGGAGGTGTAATTTAATTAGCAATCCAGATAAGTATTCTAGTTTGATTTCTGTGTCTCTGATCAAACACTGACAATTCAGAGAAGGAAAGGCTTTATTTCAAGTTATAATCCATTACTGATAGAAGTTCGGCCAGAAACTCAAGAAGGAATTTGAATCAGAAATCACAAAGGAATACTTATTTCTGGCCAAATTGCTGCCTTGTTCAGGTTCAGGTAGTTTCTTCATACAGTTTAGGACCATCTGCTTAGAGAATGGGGCCACCCGCTATGGGCTGAGTTCTCCAACATTAGTCAATAATCAAGACAACCATGGACATACACACCAGAGACAACAAATATGATGAAGACAATTCGAAAATTGAGAAGGCTCAATGCTTAGGAAGACCATAATAAAGCAAAGACATAAGAACGTGCTGGAGCAAAGACATAAGAACTTGCTGGAGCAAAGACATAAGAATGTGCTGGAGCAAAGACATATGAATTTGCTTGATCAAAGACATAAGAACGTGCTGGAGCAAAGCTACTTTTCTGAAGGGACATAACTGAAATTTAAGAGAGTTATTCTTCAGGGCTTAGCTTTCTTGTCCTGAATATGGGGTCCTAAGTCTTCAAATTGGCCACTGTGCTCGACAGTTTTACATAAATGTAATACATGCTAAAGTCATTTGAAAAGAAGGAACCACAATTAGGAAAATACTTCCATAAGGCTGAGCTATAGTCAAGCTTGTAGGACGTTTTCATACTTAGTAGTTGATAGGGGAGAGCCCAGTCCATTATGGGTGGTGCCATCGCTGGAATCATGGTTCTAGGTTCTGTAAGAAAACAGGCTGAGCAAACCATAAGGAGCAAGCCAGTAAGCAACATTTCTCCATGGTGTCTGCATCAGCTCCTGCCTTCATATTCTTGTCCTGTTTGAGTTCCTGTCCTGACTTCTTTCAATAATGGACTACAGTGTGGAAATGTAAGCCCATAAACCCTTTCTTCCCTAACTTTCTTTTTGGTTATTGTGTTTTATCACAACAATAAAAACCCTAATGAAGACAGCATCCTTGGGATATCTCCAGAGGAAACCTTTGAAAATGTATTATCAGTCCAGCATCAAGGCGCCAAGTCCTGTGTGATCTGTATTCCTTTCCTTTTTCCAAATCACTGAACTCATAGGAGGGTGGTTTAATTATATCTGCTTTACAGATGAGGTAACTAAGCTTCAGAAAAGAGAAGTGAATTAGTAATAATTGGAGCTGGGCCTTTCAGAGATGGGGAACTGGAGCCTGAGTGCGAGTGCTTTCACCATTTACAACACAGCCTTCAGTGTAACAGGCCATACATGTGGAAGATAGGGACTTGATATCTCATTCTCCTCTTTCATAACATTTTCTTCTTTGGTGTCATTTTGGCATTGCTTGGAATTGAACTCATGGTCTCTGACTTTTATCAAAGTGATCTACCACTAAGTTATCGACTAAAGATAGCATTTTCATGAATGAAAGTACAAGGGTAGCCTCAACTGATCTTTGCTCCAACATGTATCCTGAGCCATTGTCTCAGACATCACATGGTCTCTGACTTTTATCAAAGTGATCTACCACTAAGTTATCGACTAAAGATAGCATTTTCATGAATGAAAGTACAAGGGTAGCCTCAACTGATCTTTGCTCCAACATGTATCCTGAGCCATTGTCTCAGACATCACTTCCTCAGTTCTGCTGAAAACAACAGCAGGTCTGAGAGGCAGTACAGGACCCCAGATCTATCAAATGAAGCATCCCATTCAAAGGCTTTGAGAAGAAACTGCTAGGGACCCTTTAGAATTCTGGAAGTAGCTGAACAGAATAAGGTCCAAGGCCTACTTTTAAAAAGTAACCATCAAAGACTTTATTGTCAAAAAGATGGAACAAACAGGAAGGAAGAGGTAGTGGGAAGAAGGGAGGACTTTTGTTCATCTGCTTATTTCTCAGCCAGAGAGAAATGAAGATATTTGACAAAGCAACTCCAAGGACCAGGGTGAGCATCTTCTTATTGTGTGATATATAATGAGCTGCAGAGAGAAAGGGAGTATTGCCGGGCTACAGAACTATAACAGACCCCTCCTGTCCCTTTGAGCCACACCCTAACTTTTAGTCATTTCAGTGAAAGTCTTATTTCTTGTGCTTCTACCCATAGCTCTACCTCCCTTCCACCTGATTTTTACCTTTCTTCTTTTGGCAAACAAACGATCTACTTTTCCATCTCTGTAGTGAATTTAAATGTTATGCATTATTCAGATAGAATTCCCTCTCTACTGCAATAGGATAGTGGAGGGGACAGAAGCATTACTAGAAAATTCTATTGCAATAAGGAAACCTGCACCAGCATAGTGGTATTTTTCTACAGGACTTTGAGCTAAGCCTTTAACATATGCTATCTCATGTTATTCCCACGAGAACCTTAAGAGGCAAGATGCTCCTCTAATTCTCATTGTCATGGATGAGAACACGTAGACATGGGAATATTAAGTGATATGATATGTCCAGGGTCACACAATTTATAAGTAGTAGGATCACCATTAAAATCTCAAAAGCAGCTCCCAAGTCTATTCCTTCAGACTCTGTTCTGGTATAAAATAAGATACGAACAAATACCCTACTTAATGTCCACATCAATCATAATGACAGCATCAGAAACACATTTTATCCAAATAGTGTGAAGCAAGATAGTAAGTGGAAAGTTGGGGTTGCAGTTGAATATGTCACTCTCAAAAGTCAGGTTGATAACTAGAATAACACAGAGAAGATGTGTGTGGGCAAGTGCACACATGTGTGGATTTATGTTCTTCTGTGAAAGTCTGTACGTGAGCAAGGAATCCACATGCTAAGCACTGTAGCTTAGCAGGTCTTTTCCTGTATGCTATCATGAGAAGATGTTTTCCATTTCCACCCACATCTCTTCTCAGGTTTGCAATAGTAACTCCTCTAGCAAATCTAATCAATTTAGCAAGATATTTGCACTTATCCATCCTTTCATATGCTTCAGAACACAGAGACCGTTCCTCGGGAGAACTCCCAAGAAA